TCCTGCTGGCATCACTGGGAGACTGTCTCTGGAGAAACCCAACTTCAAATTCCTGAAGTGTCAAAACGTTATGCACTAGCTCAGCAACCCATCGTGCATGCTTCTGCAGACATTTTGAAACAAAAACGCCCTTCCAAATTGAAAGAAATGCTGTCAGTTACTACTGCATCTTAAGTTTTATTTGTAATTCCCATCAAAGTTTAGTGGAATTTTAATGGAATTTTTATCTTAGGCATTACGTAAAGCATGATATTGAGGCAATACAGGTATTTTTCTCAGTTTTTCATTTTGGATGGCAATATGCACTCCCTTTGGGAGCACATTTAGAGGTCCCTAATTATCACCGTGGGGGCAGACACCGAATGGCTAAATGTTGCAATGTTGGACCTTAAGGCACTTCACTTTTTCTTTTGTTCTGAACATAGAGGTTTTCAAAGACCAGGGCAAAATCAGACTGAGACATCAGTTTATGCCAATAATCCATTGTGGACCATGGACCAACCTGACAACTCAAACTGTATTCTGGGTTTTCTCTTTTTTATTTTTTGGAGGTTGTTTCATTTTGGGTTTTGTTGGTTGCTTGCTTGCTTGCTTTTTTAAACACACCACTACATTCTCCAAAAATCTTCAGTATTTACTCTTTACTACTGCTGACATTTTTTATAAACTTACGGTTTTGGAAAACCAGTTCCTGGAGGCGAATGTATCTGAACCCTCGTCTTTGGGGGATTATTGTTTCTTGCTTTTACATGTGTAAGATAATTCATTGTCTCATTATCATTATCTTTATGGTGAGAAACTTAAACTGTATTTTAAAATTTTGATTAATTAATCTTCTGGCTGGAGAAATTGTGGTAGAATAGGTCCTCCTCGCCTTTTTAGGATGGCCTGAACAGATCCCTGTAGCATGAGGGATTCGAGAAATACAACTTCCCACCTTTACTTATTTATATTTATTTAAATAAATAAATATGCTGTACTATTTTTAGGGTAAACAGGGTTTTTTTTCTTCCTAGAAGTCTTACTGCAGTGTTGCTGAATTATTTTCATTGCCATATCACAGCACAAAACCACTCTTGAGTTTTCTACTGAGCGACGGTAGCTGGGATGTGAATGTATTTCCAAGGACATAGCTTTATGTAACCTGTTTACCTTGTAAGACTTGTAAAAATCAGAAATTCTGTACTCTGCCCCAAACAATTAATGAATATGTATGTTCACATTGGATGCAGGAACAGTATGTTTTTGTCAGAGTGCCCCCTCAGGGACTTTTGCACGCTTCGGATGCATAATACAATTGAAGCGGTTTCTTTGTGAGAAAATAGGTTAATGACTTGCCAAAAGGCAGATGTTAATTGGAAAAAGTGCATACAAGTCCTTTTCTTTACAATGTGTATGGGTTGCATTTGTTATGACTTGCATGCAAGAACAGGTGCAATTTCAATTGACTCAGCTAACAGGATGTGTTGAGTGCACTCCTCACCAATTTCACCAGAAATTTTAAATCCACCAGAAAAGTTTTGCACGCTTCGGATGCATAATACAATTGAAGCGGTTTCTTTGTGAGAAAATAGGTTAATGACTTGCCAAAAGGCAGATGTTAATTGGAAAAAGTGCATACAAGTCCTTTTCTTTACAATGTGTATGGGTTGCATTTGTTATGACTTGCATGCAAGCAAGAACAGGTGCAAAATCAATTGACTCAGCTAACAGGATGTGTTGAACTCCTCACCAATCAATCCAGAAATTTTAAATCCACCAGAAAAAAATGAGTTTCTAAACTAGTCTGTGAGCAATAAGCCGCATTTATTACCTGTTACGGAACATATTTATAACTTAGTATTGTACTTACACTTAAACTTCTTAATAATATGAAAATAAGGTCTTTGATTATTTACTGGCTTTGAAGAATTTTACTGTGAGCACCGAGGAACCTTATGCAAGACAAAATGTCATCCCTTCCAAAATATTTCTTTTGTAAGAGAGTCAGCAGTTCTAGACAAGGTACCACCAGTGTATTTGTAAATGCAACTTAAAGTAGGAAAACTGCTTATTTTCACTAACACGTTCCCTGCCACAAAGCTACGCAATCAGATTAAGGTCTTCACCTTGCCTCACTTCATTTTCCCTGTCTTCAGAAGCAAAAATTAATAAAACAAATGGAAAAAAGCCATCTGGGTGTGTCAGGGTCAGAAGAGCTGCTGTTTGGTCATTTAATAGTTTGATTCCAAGGGTCTCTGGGAATTTCTAGGCTACTCGTATGAGTCCACTGGAGCAGGGACTTCGGTTTGGATCCATGTGCTTAACCTAACCTCGTCCTTCAAAAGTCATTCTCTCTCACCTGAGGAGGGATAAATGTAAAATTCAGCTGTCTGGGAAGCAGCGACGGTCTAGACCAGTGCAAGAACATTTAGTTTGGGAATCCCCTGGGAGCTTTGGCATTAACGGGGGTACTGAGTCTGCTGGCGACTGGGGTCACACCATTTTCCCACACCTATAGCAG